GAAAGAAAAGAAAGGGATGGAAGGAAGAGAAAGGAAGGAAGAAGGAAAGAAGGAAAAAGGAGAGAGAATGGGAGGAAAACTAAAAGAGAAGGAAGGAAAGAAAAGAAAGGGATGGAAGGAAGAGAAAGGAAGGAAGAAGGAAAGAAGGAAAAAGGAGAGAGAATGGGAGGAAAAATGAAAGAGAAGGAAGGAAAGAAAAGAAAGGGATGGAAGGAAGAGAAAGGAAGGAAGAAGGAAAGAAGGAAAAAGGAGAGAGGATGGGAGGAAAAATGAAAGAGAAGGAAGGAAAGAAAAGAAAGGGATGGAAGGAAGAGAAAGGAAAAAGGAAGGAAAGTGAAAACAGGAGAGAGGATGGGAGGAAAAATGAAAGAGAAGGAAGGAAAGGACGGAAGGACGGAAGAAGAGACGGAAGGGAAGGAGGAAGGAAGGAAGGAGATGAGACTTGGTCCCAAACATCTGAAAACACCAGGTTCTGCTCTTCGATGTCCAAATATCAGCCCTAAAGGTCTTGGGTTCAAATCTCCCAATACATTTGTCCTATCAGAACAGGGAGAAAAAAACCCCAACAGGCTTCACTGGTTCTCAACCGGGCCGAACTCACACCACAAAAGCAAACCCAGGATAGACAGAACCAAGTTCACCCCCTTGTGTGAACGCAACAACCCCCCCCCCCAATTCTACACCCATTCTGTTCTGATCCAGCTAGGAACTAGTTCAGCCAATTGGCGCCCGCTCACCCATCTTCCCCCCCCAACCCAACTTACCCGATTGGCACCTTTCCCCTCGATGCCCAGGCTTGCAAACACAAGTGCCGTCTCGCTTGTCACAGTGTTGTGTGTTGGCTTGCACGCAACGGCACTCTTCCGAGCAGCCGATCCCGTACGCCCACTTCGGGCAAGCTGGAAGGAGGGGAAGGGAAGACGGTCAGCGGGGGTGGGGTCTGCTGTGGCCCATCCAGCAGAGGCGTTGGGAGTCAAGGTCAGCCTCAAGGCAATCGGAGAGCTACGAGGGGGAAGAGGGAATGGAGCTGGCAGAGAAGAGGGGGGGGGGCAAAGCCTGGGCTGACTGTCAGCCCTCAGATGGAGACACTCAACAGCCCCCAGGTCTGGAGGTAGCTGATGAGGAAGAGGAGGAACAGCTGGGTCCAGTGTCTGACGTGTGGATGCTCAGGAGGCAGAGGAGAGGAGAGCAGTGGAAATCTATGGGCCGGTCCTCGGGACGGAAGAGCCATTGCAGCTAGTGAAGACCCATCCTAACTCTGGGGATAAAAGGCAGAGGGCAGAGATGGATAGATGTGGCAGAGGAGAGGAGAGCAGTGGAAATCAATGGGCCGGTCCTCGGGACGAAAGAGCCACCGCTGCTAGTGAAGGCCCCACCTAGCTCTGGGGATCAAAGGCAGGGGGCGGAGATGAATAGATGTGGCAGAGGAGAGGAGAGCAGTGGAAATCTATGGGCCGGTCCTCGGGACGAAAGAGCCACCACTACTAGCGAAGGCCCCACCCTAACTCTGGGAATCAAAGGCAGGGGGCGGAGACGAATAGATGTGGGAGACAACTATTCATCTCCTGGACAGACAGATGTGTTAGCCCGCGGCGAGAGAGAAACTTTTGGCCACCTCTCCTAACAAAGGAATCGTTGCTTCAACTTTTCTCGTGTTTTGGGAGATGCGTCAGAACAGGGACTCCGAGGGCCTTTCTATCTGGGGAGAAGCGACAGCCACCGTGAGGCCTTTACCTAGGTGACAGAAACGCCCGTAGCGTCCCGGGTCGCACAGGCAGGTGCCGAAAACCCGGTGGCATCGTCCCCGGTTGGCACAGTGGCATTTTTTCCGGCACTGTTTTCCGAAAAATCCTCTGGGACAGACTGAAAGAGACAAGGCCGCGAAGGAAGGTGTGAGGAAGGACAGAAGGACAGACGGAAGACACAATTTAACGTCTCCGTCGCGTGTTTTTGAAGGGGGGGTGGCTCATCCCCAGGGCCCACCCATGGGTCCTGGTTCGTTTAAGGACCGTTCCGGAGTTACGACAGCCCTGAAAAATAAGTGACTTTTACACGTAGGGCCGTTTAGTCCCCGGGGAGCATTAAAAATTGGATGCTTGGCAACCGACTCGCATTTATGACGGTTTGAATTTGGGACATTCCCAGGGTTCGTTCAAGATTGAGGGGGGGTCAGCAGGTTTTGGAGATGGCTGTGAAAGTGACCCCGAGCACCTCTGGAGGGAGGGGGAGAGTTGGCTTGCCATCTTACCATCTTCGCACCGGTCCCCGTCGGCCTCGGGGGGACAGAGGCAGGTCCCCGTCACTGGATGGCAGCTGCCTCCGTTTTGGCAGAGACAGAGAGAGCTGCAGTTCTTCCCAAAAGTCCCTTTGGGGCAGGCTGTGAAAGGGAAATTTGTTGTTACCCCCATAATCCCCCGCCACCCCCCCCCCCCGAGAGCCATTCAGTCGGATGGGACTCGCGAGCATCAAGAGACAAC